GAAAGCACAGTTTTTCACACAATCCTTATTTTGTTCTCCGGTCAATATTCAGTTCAATACATTACAGTTCAGATTGTGACTGTTTAATTACACAGTTTGTGGGTTTTGAAGTTTCATTTGCAGGCTGATTGCTTAATATTTCAATTGCTCGAATTACTTGTTCTAGGAAATGAAAATTTCACATTGAATAGTTTTTTTTTGTATTCTGTAAAAATATTAAAATAAAGTAATCGCGAATATTCTGGTTGAGACATTTTTATGCTTGTTGAGTGGTCACTGGCTAGTACATCAATTCAAATTCAAAACTTATTCAAGCCTCCCAATAAAATTGCCAGAAAAAACTTCCTGAAATAGTCTTCAAAACATTAGCTTGAAATAGCTTGCTTGAATTAAACAGAGTCGACAACATTTATCTTCCGTCAAGTCGGTTGAACACGTTCATCTTATGCTCGCGAAAGGTGGAAGATAGCAGACTCGAGTCAAGCACAGTCGAAGACATCTTTTTTATTCTCGGTAGAAATGTAGCCAATATAAGTGTATATTTTTTTTTAGAGAGAGAGAGAGAGGGGACATTTTATTGTTTCAATATACTTATGCAGTTGCAGAACTGATTGTATAAGAATCTAGTGTACAATATTACGCAATGGTTATATAACATAACAAGAAAAAACATAAATTACTACGAGGTTGAATCAAATATTTGATTTAACAAAATAAATGTCCTTGGATACGGAAAGACTCTCCTTATTGGGTAACAGGGTGTCATCTTTTCCTATGATGAAATTTTTAATCAGAGTTTTTGTCAATATGTACGGCAGTTTTCGATTAAACAAGGTTCGGATTATTGTGTTAAGGTTCCTGATTGATGTAAATAAGAAAGACTTACGAAGGAAATCAGTTTTACATGTTAAAGGGAACAGTAATGTTCCAGTTCGATGGTTATAGCGGAATTCAGAATTTGGGAATCTTATATGCGTGAAAGCTGGGGCATCGTTTCGGCATAACCTGTGAAGGTAGTGTGCTGATCGGTACTCGATAATATTCCGAGCAGTAGGAATTTTGTGCTGTTTCCTTAGAAGTGTAACGGAATCTCGTTTGCTTATATCATTATTATCCTGATTCCCCATTTTATTTGTTTTTCGAGTTTCTCAATATTATCTTGCGTACATCCGTTTAAGAGCATGCATGGATAGTGCAAATGGCTCAGTACAAGAGTATTTAACAGGAGAATTCTAGTACGCAGAGGGATTTCGTCACGGATGCATTTCATCGTTTGGATTGCTGTAGCCATTTTTTGTAAAATTTTGTTAATTTCTTTGTCGAATGTTAAGCTTATGTCAATATTGACGCCGAGAAATTTAACTGTCTCTGTTAAATTAACTTGATAGTTTCCAACTTTCAATGAAAGATTTTCAGTTAGTTTCTTTTTCGACGGTGCAGAAAATACAATGAACTGAGTTTTGTCTACATTAATCATTAATCGATTTAAGTGAAAATACAAGAGAATTTTGTTGAAATTGTTTTCAATGCTCTTTGTTGCTGTTTCGGGATCTGAATGAAAATTAAGCAGAGTCGTGTCGTCGGCATATTGTACTAACGTACATGATTTGTCTATTGTTTGTGGTAAGTCATTTACATACAAGTTGAACAGCAGTGGTCCTAGTACAGTACCTTGGGGAACACCTTGCTCTAATTTAAGCCAATCTGAGTGTTCGCAGTTTACTATTGTCAATTGCTGTCTGTTTTCTAGAAATGACTTAATAAGAGTTGTTGCTGACTGTTCAAAGCCAATGTGACTTAGTTTCCTTTCAAGGACTGAATGAGAGAGTGAATCAAATGCTTTAGATAAATCAAGAAATGCAGCCGCTGCTATGTTATTTTTATCGAGATGGAATCTGATTTTTTCTGTTGTGTATAAAAGAGCATCATTAGTTGAATAACCTGGACGAAAGCCAAATTGTTTTGGATTTAGAATATTGGAATTTGCTAAGAATTCGTGAATTTGGGATGAAAAAAAAAGAGTGGGTGTAATAGAAATTGGACGATAATTTACTGGATCTGTCGAGTCGCCTTTTTTGAATATGGGAAAAACGTGTGCCTTTTTTAAGGTAGATGGGAATACGGATTTCGAGATGCATTCATTGATAATCATCGTAAGAATTGGGTTTACAGTATTAATGCTGTCTTTTAGAGCCCAAGCAGGGATTTTGCTTGGTCCTAATGGCTTGTTTAAGGGAAGTAATAAAATTGCATCTTTCATTTCTTTGTGAGTTATGAACCTGAATTGAAAGTGCCTATTTGTTTTGCTGTGTACACTGTACTCAGTTGGTACATCTATGGGAGGATCTGCGTTTTTGTATTCTCCTAATGTTGAGAACCTGTAGTTAAGGAAATTTGCTTTCTTCTTATTTTCAATTATAGTGTCGCCAAACGAATTCCGTAGATCACCTATTTGCGTTGAATGTTTCATGGTGTTCCTGATAGAGTTTATGAAATTCCATTGTTTTTTGGACAGTCAAGCATTTTGAATTGAGCTGTTTTCTCTTTCTTGTATAAATGTTTTAGATGATTGTTGTATTTATTTCTTATTCGTTTATAGTTTTCAAAATTGGTATCTGTTCTTGATAATTGATATGCCTTTAGAAGATTTTCTTTTTCCCGTTTTAAAGGTCTATTGACTGAGTTAAGTACTTTACCAGACAGCTGTAGCTGCGGTTTATTTCGGATATACTTCTGCTCTAGTGGTGCGTGAGCGTTTAGGGCATGCGAGAAAAACATCTTCAAATTTTATTAACATTTTAGAGATATCGTTTTCTTGGTAGACGAGAAACCATGGACTCTGTTTAAGTTCCTCGCAGAACCTATTTTTACAATAATTGGTTTTGTTGAAGCGAAAAGTTCAAATTGGAATGGCTTTTTCGAATCGTTTTAGTTTGCTAATACACATTGTTATTAAATGGTCCGTGTTTATAGGTGGTTCTGCTACAATAGTTTCTTTACAAAGAGATTTGGTTGCTATAATGTTATCTAAAATGGATTGGCTGTTTTTAGAGTTGTATGTCGGTATCAACTTATTGGTTATTGACAAATTGTATGGTTTAATAGAATCGCTGAGAAATTTAGCTTCATGTTTATTCAAGTAGTTAATATTGAAATCTCCCAAAATCGTAACATCTCGCGCTTCGGAGGCAGCGTAATTGATACCCTATAGTGTATCTTCTATAAAAATTTCCTTGAATTGTTTGTGTGGATTGTAGGCAATAGCAATTATCTGTCTTTTTGATTTTTTTGAGATGATTGGGCTATATTCCACCCAGAGTCCTTCAAAATGGGAGGGACGTAGATAATTTAAATCTTCTCGAATCTTAGGGTTAAATTTTTTCAGAATAAGAAGAAGAGTACCACCACCTGCGTGTTGACCAGTGCATTTTTTGTTACGGTCGCATCTAAAAATTTCATGGGTTGTTTTGCAGAATGAATAAGTTTGATGATCGCATGTTTCGTCAAGCCAGGTTTCCGTAAGACCGATAATTGTGTTTGAGTCAACTATTTCTGACAAGAAACGCATTTCCATGTGTTTGTTTTTTATGCTTCTACAATTTAGAGTTATATATTTGAGGAAGTTGTGGTGTTCCTTTGCTTTGTTTGTCAGGATTTCATATGATAGTGCGGGACCTGGATTGACTTCGATGTCCCCACATTGAAGAAGCAGGATTTCCAATATTCCAATCTGAAAGGTTAGTATCACAACTGCGCAATAGATGCCAGCTGTGAATCTAAAGTGGCGGTTAGACGTCATGTTTCTAGTTTTGAGTAGTGTGGTGCTGTTGGGTTCATTGTACTTAATGGGAATGCTAGTTAAAAGGGAGAAAATAAGGAGAGTCTTTAAAAGCCATTGGCTAAACATAAATTTGACAGATCCAGATCATTGGGTAATAAACTACTAAAACAGCATTAGTATGGATAGTATCTATTATGGCGTAAGTCATAATTACTACGATTGGTATTCATATAATTGTAGGTTTGGTTGTTGCTGAAACCATGGCTCGCAAGACTCTTTGGGTGCTCGGGGCCCCACGAGACTTGGCTTGAACCAGGTTTCATACGATTCCTCTGAGGGTGCGCTGGGCCCCTAGAGTTGGAAGTATTCGGAGAAACAACTCGACGTGATAAGCTGGATAATGGTAGCACCTTTTCCATGATTGCATTTTTTAAAGTACTAACAGAACGCATCAAATGTACTTCATCAAAGAAGATTGACTGATAGTCGTTTATGCTGACAATTTTATCGTATATAGGAACAATTTGATACTTTTTTTTCTTAAATTTATGAGCAATAAGGCTGTTGAATTCAGTTATACGTTTACCACTTACAGAATCGGGTCCCGATTTCACAGGCGGGACTTGGCATATATTGATTATTGTAGGTGAAAACTTTGTCTCAATTTCACTAATGGTGGCGCAAAAAGTTTCAAATATATCATCTACAGGTTTGTGTAGTTCCCTTGTGAGTGAATTGGTGCCGTCCTGGAAGGTTACTGATTTCAGCTCAGTATCGTCGTACTTTTTCACAACTGATTGTTTCTCGCTGCAAAATGACCCGCGGTAAGAATGAACGGCCACGTCTTTGGGCAGCTCCTTCGTGTCAAACTCCGCTAAAAAACTCGAACCAATAATCAAGTTTTGAGTATCAGTGGGGATTACTTTGGCAGCAAAATCAATAGGTGCTCTGAGTCCTTTTGCGTTTTGATTACTGTTTGGAGGATTACTGGATGTTGCTAGTACATTGACAAGGTTATATATTTGAACGTAGTACTTATCTTTTTGTTCGGGATTGAGTTTCGTGAAGTCGTCGGGCAGCATCAGAAGCATTGGTGTTGACATTGTGTGAAGCCAGGAAAATGCCAGGAATAATGGTGCTGTTGGTGTCAAGGATAATATGCTGAAGTTAGTAGTCAGTGCCCAAAAAATGGCAACTAGTGTTTCATCACTCTCTGAAACTATTTAATAAGTTTATCACAACATTTAGATCATAGTCAAATCTTAGCAAACTTGAATCGAACACATCTGAAGCTATTTTCATTCGATATAGTTGGTCGGATCATATCCAGTGTTAGACCCGTTGGTCGAAAGACGCGTTGGTATTGAATTTGGGCGAATATTTTTTTATACTCTCGTGTCGGTCAAGACATTGCCAAATTGGATTGATTCTCTGTTTTGAAACGCTCCAATTAAAATGCTCAAGGTAAATAATTTTTTGAAAAATTGACATTATCAATTATTAAAACAATTTCGTTCTGAGATATTTTCAGCGTGACTCTGATTTTGTGTATTTTCATTTCAACCAGTAATAACTTTTTGTTTCAGTCCCTATTTCTGCTACAAGCATTTCTGGACAAATTATACTCGTGAAAGGCGAAGTCGTTCAGTCCTTGACATGGCAAACTTCATTCGAATGATACAGCCGATTTACTTGAAACTCAACTGGTTCTCTTTCAGAAAAATCGACCAGCCCACAGGCTAGTTTGGGGATCTAAAAGCTTCACTAAAACCCGAGTCGAGATTTTTCACCTTATTTGAAGCGAGATTTGAGCGGTTTTTTTTTTAAAGATAAACCGCTCAAAAACCGTTCAAATGATCATATTTTTTCTTGGAAATTTATTGAAACTTTGTTCTAAGTAGTGACATTTGACGCAATTGAATTTTTTTTCTTAATTCGTGGACAACCCGCTATTTGTTCTGCATTTTGTAAAAAAAAAAAATTATAAAACCCCGAAACGATTTAACAATCAAATATTCTTTCAAAATCTACCGCTTCGCGATCGGAAGGGAGGTGTATTTGCAGTATAAATAGGGATGGAGGCTTTTTGGCTTGATTTAGAAAGGTCGTATCATTTGAAACGGAAACAATAAAATCTGATATTTTTCTTCTATGTAAAGATGCGCGTAGTTTCTTCTATGTTTTGAATATTTATTTTGACAAAAACGGTAAGCCAGTTGTGATAAATAAAAAAAAACCTATAGCGGCACAGGGCCGAATAGTTGAACTAAAAATTGCAAATTTGAACGGTTTTTTCAGTAAGCACTTTGATAAGTATCTTCGGATCACTTGAAAAACAGCTATTTTTATCGATCCCGCTCATTCCAAACTGGTTTAAACCAGGAAAATCATCCAATGGCTTTATAATTGCAATGTTGCATCACATTTTTGTCTGCATTCACACTGCATATTTTAAAAAATTTCGCATCGTCTGGAAAAAATAGGTTTGATGGTCTGAAAGTACTTTTTTGAGGCTTCGAAGAAAAGTATGGATTATTGACATGCATATTTCAAAGCTCCTGGTGAAAACTTTTTTTGATGAAAAGATAATGGTTCATTGAAATTTATGAAATAAATCAATTGGAGACAAATGTTGCTTTCCAACCAGTTTCTTAGCATTGTGTAGGCCCTGAGTTTTTTGAACTTTTAATTAAGGCTTTACCAGCTTAATACTGCATTACCAGACGCAAGCAAAGTTTTCATAGTACTTGAAGATATGCGTTGAGGTAGATTTCTCTCTTTTTTCATTTTTGGGCTGGAAATGCAACAGCTTCAAAGCAAAGGCAATTTCAGAAACATAAGGGTGGTCAGAACTCTCAAGATTTCTCCTCAATATGATTTGCCATGCCTTTTTCCAACTATAATGGAAAAAAGAATGCGAGTAGTGTCAGAGAGGTTTTATAAAATTGAAAACAGAACTGGGATCGATAATTTAACTCCTTGCCACGAAAAGAAGCCTGTCACGCAATAATTCCTCTAGCTATCTGGCCGACACACTTTGTGAGTCAAACAGCTAAAACTTTACCACGGTTTCAGGTATAAACAAAAAACGGTTTCTTTGCGAATACATTATGTGACTAGGGTTCAAAACGCAATTTTTCACCCTAAAAGCGATAACGATAACAACACCTGCTTGAAGAAAATGAATGAGCTTATTTTGATCCTGTCAAAAAAAAAACTTGAAATCATTTGAAAAAAACACCGTTTGATCGACAACGTTTTTGGCTAAGTTAGAGGTTCACTCCAATTGTTATCACAGAAAAGATCTAGGTCCCTTGAATTTGTTCCGATGAGCTGGGACAAAACGTTATGCTGTTTTTAGCAACTGGTTAGGTAAAATGACTCTCTCAACACATCTAATTGCGCTGATGGAAAGTAACAATAGTTATTATACGCCTAGCAAAATTGTTTTTTGTTATAAACACAGAACTTAAAAACTCATCTGCGATCTTACAATAAATTGAAAAAAAAAACAAAAAATAATGCCCGAAAAAAAAACATGTTAAAAATAACGTCAGATAGCCTTATTTGTTTGCGTATCATTTTCTCCCAAATTTCTGGTTAACATTCTTCAAATTTTTGTAATCGAACTAGTTTTGTAATAAGCGGCTACAAATTATTAATCCGACTTTTGAAACGAAAGTAACGGAATATTTGTGTTCGGGTGGGTTTTTTTTTCAGAGAAAAGTCGACTTTTTAACTAGCAATTTTTGACCACGTTACTCAAAAAGTATTGTTGTCCTGAACCTAAAATTGAAACGATATTTCAGCTGCGATAATTTTTCACAGAGTTATGGGGGTTTAAAGATTGCTATTGTGTTAAATTTGGGACGATTAACGTGCGATATATTTCGCTCTATTAACGCTTAAGCGGAGATTTAATTCCTCTAAAAAGTGTTCCAAATTTGAATAAAGTTTAAAACAAACTATTTTTTCGTAATTTATATGTTACTAGGAGCTAAAGTTATCACTTTGTACTTTTAATGGCGTGTGGGGGGCTGATTTTCACAAAATGGGGGATGATTTTCATTTTATTTTAATTCAGTTAATTTTTTCATGTGTCTACTGATCCATAAACCTTGAACGGCAGTCGGAACAATCAGCGCTTTGCCCTGATACGAGCAGTCTTGTTTTCATTTAATATTCTTGCTTTCATGAAAGGAAAACTAATAACGAACGAAATTAAAGCTGAGAGAAAATGTCAAAACTGCTAACTTTTTTTTGAAAAGGCTTACTATTGTTTTTTTTCGGAAACACCGTGAAACGAATTCATAGTTTTTGTTCACTTAATTCTAGATTGATTTTTTGGAAAAGTTCAATCAATTCGTTTTTTTTTTCTAGAAGACTCAAAAAAACTAGAGAAAAATATTTCAATGTACTCCCACTTTGACTAAATTCAATTTCTATTTAAACTTTTAAAAAAAATAAATTAGCTGACAAGAGTTGTAGCTAAATTACATAAAGCTAAGAATGCAGGAGTATTTCCCGTTGAATGCCACTTTTTCTCGAATCGGTTATCTGAAATCTAGTAACATTAGCTTAATCTCAAAGTTATTCATTTTGTCATCAAAAATTCGAGACTCCATATTTGTTAAAGTACGGATTTCTGTTATTTTTTTCTAGATAAAAATCATGATTTTGAAAACAAGCTATGAAACCAAACAAAACACGAGAGCAAATTTATCAAATTTGAAGAAAATTGCACTCGTGTCATTACTTGAGCTCAAATTCTCTGGTGTTTCACTTGTTTTTACTAGAAACGTTCAAGACTCGAGCAACTTTTAATTTAAAACACGCGAAAATCTTGTCAAATTATCAAATACTTATGTACTACATACACACTTACACTCATACATAAAAAGCATACGTAGAATCTTTCATACATATAAACATACACACAATTACATACAAGTATACACACATTTACACGTACGTAAGAACATACATACAAACAAAAAATACCTACCTACATACGCACAAACATACATATATTTATACATAGATACTTGCATACATACAGATGTTCAAACATACAAAACTTTATACGTGCATACATACATTTATACATACATACGTGCATACATAGATATATTCATTTATTCATACATACGTACACGCATACATAATTACATACTTATATACGAACATACATCCATAAATTTACATACATACATAGATACAAATTCACGTACATATGTGCATCCATACTCACTTACAAAAAACTGCAATCATAGGTGCAAGTTAAATCATTTTGCTCATGACATTGTG